TTAAAAGGCACCCATTAAACATACACAGTACACACAGACGCGCACGCACACGCACGCGCGCACACACACACACACACACACACACACGCACACACACACATGCGCGCGCGCACGTACGCACCCCCTCCAGCACACAACACAAAGAATTTTCCAAGGATACAGAAACCGATCAAACCTCCTTCCTTCTCTCTCCGTCCAACTTATCTATATAAATATCTTCCGCCATATGGCAGCTTCACACCAACAATCCTACTACATTAAAACTGCAACATTCACAAAATAAATCGTGTTCTACTTTGTGTATTATTATGGTTTCTCAACCGCAAACAAACTTCGCGAAAATATGTCACGGATCTAATCATTATGTCGCTTATCGAGGCATGCTAAGAGGGCCAAAAACCCACACGAGTTCTAATCGCCACATCATTCCCTTTCGCTCCCACGCCCCACGCCTATGGACAGTTGGCGCATTGGACAATGCACGGAGAAATGGACACTAGCAACTTCGTTTACCTCGGCATGTTCTTGTGCTTCACTGAACGGGGCACACGAACTGATGTACACATAGATTATTTATTATTAATTCTGTACCAACCATAGCCATGGTACCAACAGATACTACCTGTCGAACATAAACTGTTCCAATACCTTGAAATGGTGGAGGGGGCAAAACGAATAAACTGACATACAGCCACCAAAAAAAAAAAAAAAAGAGAAGCCTTTTAAAGCCTTGTTGTTGACCTCATAAAAGTCCGAAGCCGAAGTAGCTTTAGTCAAATTCAGCTCTATATAACGAAAACAAAAGTAAATCTAGACATTTTTTGCACATACACAAGATCGCTCCAAGAACAAAACAAATTCGCCTTTACCTGTATAACACTTTGCGCACTTTCCCGAAGATAGCCGGGCCTGACCTTGTCTGGTCTGATCTAGTTTAGTACGGCATGGTAAGGTACGAGTCCCAAATTACCATCAGCGGCCAGACACATTCTACATTGGCAGCACCATACCACGCTCGATTAATATTGACAAGAAAGTGGCCTCCAGAATCGCCAGAGCAAGCACAGCCTTCAGCAGACTGATGGGCACAGTCAAGGAACGATTAGGACTGAGTATTGATACCACGCTCAAAGTATATTGAGCAGTAGTTCTGCCAAACCCGCTCTACGTCTGCGAAATGTGGACAGACTACAACCCGCATGCCAAGCAGCTCAGCGCCTTCCAATTGAGATATTTCGGGGGGCTCTCGTGGCCTAGAGGTTAAGGTGTTGGCCTCTCATTCAAATGTCCCGGTTTCGAATCCGGGTAGAGACCGAACAATTTTCTTTTCTAAATGTGTCTCCTTTCACCTCCTTTCCTGCTCTCTAGCAGTGTTCTGTCGTCTGCTTTCGTCTCCTCTTTCTGCCCCCACTCCCTCATCCCCTTTGCCCCCTCCTCTGGGCTCCTGATTCTTTCTACAGCCTTTCTACTGCTACTCCTTGGCTTCTTCTTACTGCTGTCTTTCAGTCACACCCCTGATCTTCTGGTAGGAAAGATCTACACCTAGCCTTCTCGGACAAGGGCGAAAAATCTAGGAGGGCCCATGTGCAAGTTGCGCACGTTAAAGATCCCTTGGTGGTCTAAAATCGATAAGAGTAGGCTTCGGCCGCCACCCGGGCAGCATTCAAAATTTCCTACCAACTTAAAAAGTTAAATGTGTCCCGCGCGCTCATATGACCTTATGCAGTTGCGAGCGCCGTAAAAACACTCCGTTTTATTATTTTTTAAAAAGAGGTATTCCAGGTCCTAATTCCGTGTCATGGGGACAACACAGAGACACTGACGTGCTCCAACGGGTCGACACAGAGAGCATCCGTACCATTCTATTGAGCTACCAGATTCAGTGGGCTTGTACGGTACAGGACGGTATGGAGACAGTATTTAAACTCCTGAATCCAAAATCCATCTTAAATAAGACAGTACCATGAGAACTTTTCAACAATTTAAGACCCCCCCCCCCCAAAAAAAAAAGGCCATCAAGGATTTCAACCAGGGTCATTGGTACATTGCTCAATACGACTTCCAGATAAGCTTACAGCACTTTCATAACAGAAAAGATCAACGGTAATAGTTGAAAGGGAACTCGTTGCCTCTAAAAGTAGAATGATCCAGAAGTACGGAAGGAACGACTGAATGCACTAACAACAAATAATAATAAACGTATCCTGAATGGAAAGCCCGAAGGTCAGCCCGTGCACCGTAAAGTGTGTTTGGGTGTAGCTGCACAAGAGTATGTACGTACTGTGCGGTCAGCGTGGTGAGAAAACCGCGAGAACAATTTAATTAACAGAGGTATGATGTACAGGCACGTCTGACCGGGGGAGACTATCAACCAGTGGAATAAGGCATTCCATTTTTGTCAGACATCCCTCATGCTAGATACCCTTCTGATTCTCTCTCTCTCTCTCTCTCTCTCTCTCTCTCTCTCTCTCTCTCTCTCTCT